GGCCGACGCTCTATCCACTGAGCCAAACCGGTCAGGGCATATCATAATTTTTAATTTCCTTTGTGTTAGTTGTTTTTCCTTTGTCATAGTAGTTGTTCCTTTTTCACAGTAGCCTGCTACAATATTCTCAAGCAACTTTCTAAGGATGATGTTACTTAGAATTCTTAGCATGTTCTTTTATGTTCCTTTATCTGTCTTTTCTCTAGAATCAATTTTTAGTTTGTTCATCCTGGACCTTTTCTTTAGAGTTGTTGAATTCCCTCAAGTATCTGGTGATCCTTGGTTTTCTATTCGCATCTATGTTTGAAGGATAGGTTCATTAGTAGCTATTTCATTTAAGTTTTTATTTCATCTGTGAGTGATCTATTTCCCTTACAGGCTCCTTTGGAACTCTGTGAGTGGGAACATTGACTGCAGACTTCCCTGAAAGTAGCTTGGAGGAGGTAGAGAGCAGATTTAGGACTGTTTTCCTCCCCACTCAGGCCTTTGCCCATCCCCAAAAGCCATAATAAGGAGACCTTTACTTCCATACAGCCACAGTTGACAGGTTACTTCCCGCTTGCTTTTCTCACAAGCTATTACATGCCAGCAGGTGCCCTCCCCAGACATAATTTCCTTCCTTAACTATCATAACGTCTGCCTCCTTTCTTGTTTGCCAGTACTGATAAGTGTGTTTTATCCCACCCACTCCCTCCATTCCCTACAGTGCCATAAAGTTGGAGGGAAGAAAGAGGTCTGTTGTTCAGAGGGTAGTTTAAAGATGAATAACCCTTGCCCTGGCCAGTGTTGCTCAGTGGGTTGGGCATAGTCCCATGAACCAGAAGTTTGCTGATTTGATTCCGGGTCAGTGCACATACCCAGATTGTGGGCTCCATCCCCAGTAGGGGGCATGCAGGAGGCAGCCAATTTATGTTTCACTCTCACATTGATGTTTCTCCCTCTCCCTTCCTCTCTTTCTTAAAAAAATGCAATAAAAACATCTTTAAAAAAATTAATAACCCTGATGACTACTTCACAACCCCCTACTATTTTTTCTGTTTGCTTCCTCTGAGCTAGGAAATTCTCTGCTCCTACCCTTAAAGTAATTTTCTCTTAAAAGTGTTTGGAGTGTGTTAATACTCTGCTTTGAGTCCTCTGTTAGTCAGATCCCAAGTGCTTTCTATCCATATTTTTATCATAACTTCTGCCTCCTCTCTTGTTTGCCGGTGCTGGTAAGGGCTTACTAATTTTTAAAGCTATCTTTCTTGTCTTTTAAAGGATTTATGGTGGAAGGGCAGGCATATGTTTGTGCTTAGTTCTCCATCTTGATTTTCTTCCTCCTTGTCCATATTATCTCTCCTCTTGATAATGAAATTTCTGACAACAAAGTGTGCTGCTGGAATATGGCTTCTTTTTTAATTAAAATAATTTCATTTAATAACAAAGTGCCAGGCACTTACATATATTATTGATTTGAAACCTCACAACAATCCTGTGACTGAGGCATCAAAATCCACATTCGGTCAGTGAGGAAGCCAAAACTCAGGAGATTAATTGAGTTAATTGATGTCATACAGAGAATGAGAAATAGACTTAAAGGCTGACTCCAAAGGCCACTTCATACTTCCATACACTGTTCAAAAATTTCTGTTATATTTGTTTATCTTTACTTCCTCCATTAATATATAAGTTTCTTGAAAGTAGGGACACTAGCTGTAGTTTTTTTATTTCATTTTTATTGTGAGGTCCCTGATAATCCTATATAATAAAACCCTACTATGCAAATCGACCGGTAGCTATGACTTACACTGACCACCAGGGTATATAGACACTCAACGCAGGAGCGGCCCCCTGGTGGTCAGTACGTTCCCATGGGGGAGTGCCACTCAGCTAGAAGCTAGCCAGGGGTGGGCAAACTTTTTGACTCGAGGGCCACAATGAGTTCTTAAACTGGACCGGAGGGCCGGAACAAAAGCATGGATGGAGTGTTTGTGTGAACTAATATAAATTCAAAGTAAACATCATTACATAAAAGGGTACGGTCTTTTTTTTTTTTTAGTTTTATTCATTTCAAACGGGCCGGATCTGGCCCGCGGGCCGTAGTTTGCCATGGCTGAGCTAGGCTCACGGCTGGCAAGCGCAGCAACAGGCAGACATCCCCCGAGGGGTCCAGACTGTGAGAGGGCGCAGGCCGGGCTGAGGAAACCCCCCCGCCCAGTACACAAATGTCGTGCACTGGGCCTCTAGTGTTCTATAAGCAGCAGTCTGTTTAAATTTTGTAAACCAACTAGGTAAAGAAGTTAATTACAATTATGTTATTATCATGCACATAATTATATATTAGAGTGGTACAAATGCTTTACTTGAGGTCTTGACATGTTTTATTATGTCCACTGAAATGAAAGATTGGGTTGCAAATCAAAATTAAAACTGGAGGAAAGGTCAAAGTTCAGCTTCTGGCTAGAGTTGTTATGGCAACTCTCTGAGCAATAAGTCCACCTAAACAGAAGGGAGAACAAGAGGAAATACCACTGATCTCTAATAATAGCTCTAGCTAAATGTTTTTCTTTTTATTTCTCCAGTGTTGCAATATGTTGAGATTCCTAGAATTATAATTCTGTCCTGTATTCCACTAGATTCACCGTCATATTATTCTCTTTAAGCCTGCCCCAGGGAGAGGCAACTTTCTGGGGGACAGAATGACATCGACATTCCTAAGGATGGGATCACCTGAGTTTGTTCATTTTGAACTCATTTGTTTCATTCATTCAACAAATATTCACTGAGCACCTAGGACATTGGCTGCATAATAAAACCAGCTGGGAATTTTTTCAAAATGCTATGACCAGATTTCACTCCGAGAGCAGTGGAGCCTAGGCCCATGTATTTTTAAAGCTCCTCACCTCAAGCAATAATGATGCATATGAAGGTTGAAAAACCACCGATCCATGATATATTACAAACTGTGCTAACCACTGAGGATACAAATAAAAATAATAATTGCTATTATGTATTGAGTGGATATTACATGTCAAGCACTGTTCTGTGTGCCTTATATGTGTTAACCTATTTAATCCTCTCAACAACCCTAGAAGGTAGGTATTACTCCCATTTATAGATGAAGACACTGAGGTCCAGAGAGGATAAGCAGTTTTGTCAAGGTTATGGTATACACTTAGGAGCTGGTGGAGTCTGGCCACGGAGACCATGCACACTGTTCTACAGCCTCTCAGTACCATCACAGTGTAGTAAATAATGAAAAGACAGAAGATATGTACAATAACACCTAAAGTGGGAGGTGGGGAAGGAGGAAGGGGCAGGAGGGCTTCCTGTAGGAGGTGGTATCTCAATTCAGGTACCACCTCCTACAGGAAGAATGGGACCCAGCAAGGAAAAGTGGGGGAAGAGCTTTTCAGATTCCTGCCTTCTTTGTCTTGCTAGACAACCTGCCTCCTCACCTCCCAGGAGTCCCTTCCCCCACTTCCCAAGTGAAAACATTGGAATGTCCACAATTACCCTTAATACGCCTAACATTTCAACTGGGAAGACTGAGCTCATGCACAATTACTCATGCAATCTTTCCTCCTGACAATAGGTTCTTCTGTGTGCTTCTCACTCAAACATATAAAGCTCCACTCTGTTGTTTTCAAAAAAGCCTTTGTTGTAGGAACAATTCACAAACGTGTCAAACACACATTGGTTCCCCACCCCCCTCTCTTGCCCCCTCACCTGATCCAGAGGCTAGAAAACAACCCCCTGGCTTGCCAGGGACCTGTGTCTGCTTGCCGACTCTGCCCAGATGGAAGCTCACACTGCATTTCACGTTGCTTCTTACCATGTAGGGCTCTAAGTTTTGAGTTTGAGGTTAACCTCCGAAGCATGTAGCCACACCTGCCACCTCTGCCTGGCCTCAGGGGCGGGAACAGACTTTCTGTTGAGGAAAGGGAAATGCTCTGATGCTGCTAATTAACTGTGAGAGGAAAGGAGGCCCTTTCCAGACACCAAAAATACCAAGGAAGCACATTATAAAAGCAGCCTTTGTACAGCCAGCCCCACCAGTCAGTCGGCCGAGGCCGGGGGTGGAGGGAAAAATAACTCCTGCCGCCCGCAGGTCACTGTATCCCAAGTGGGCATGTCAGGAGGCCAGGCCCTGAGTGAGTGTCAGCTGGGAGACAGGAGTCTTAGGAACATGGTTGGAGTCTGGCTACTCTTCCTGGTTTGCGCAGTGGTCGGCAAACTCATTAGTCAACAGAGCCAAATATCAACAGTACAACGACTGAAATGTCTTTTGAGAGCCAAATTTTTTAAACTTAAACTATATAGGTAGGTACATTGTTATTAACTTAATTAGGGTACTCCTAAGGCTTAGGAAGAGCCACACTCAAGGGGCCAAAGAGCTGCATGTGGCTCGCGAGCCGCAGTTTACTGACCACGGGCTTAGGCAAACCACAGGAATCTTCCTGAAGCTGGCATGCTTTTAGACGACTTAAGAGTCTTTGCTAAAAAAGCCACAGGAGTACAGATCTGTTGAGGTGTGAGGTGGAGATTGCCTCCGAGTCTGGGTAATCTCACCGTAGCAGGTCCCTTGCCCATCCTGTGCTTATCAAACTGGGAGCTGATCCCCACATTAAGGACAGGACTATCATAAATGTAGAGACGTGTCACTGTCTGCCCTGCCCAATTCCCTTGGGCTTGGCTGCTCCAGGCCTGAATAGAGTCTGCAGTGTCTGGGAGACTCGGGGTCCTGCGGTTGCTGTTGAGAGAAGAGTTGAGTTGCTACGAAAGTTGGATTTGGCCTCTGGCCGGGAATTGGAGGCTTTCCCAAACAGGAAAGCAGTAGGGCCATTTGGCTGAGACCCTAAGCTCAAGAGGCTTCAGAATTTGGCTGCGGATCAGTGTAAGGGAATGAGGTGGAACCTGGGGGGTGGCCCCAAGGATTGAGGACCTTTGCATCTGAAAGCTGCCAGAGCCACACTGAGGTTCTTAGAGAGCCTGTTAACACAGTCTGCCTTATTTTACAGGGGCTGGGACAGATTCCCAAGACTTTAAATTGCCAAGACCAGGAAGTCGTGGTACTAGGATTTCATACCAGGCAAGTTTCCCAGTCTCTCACTCTAACATTTTTGCGTCTGGGCAGACAAGGGAAAATTCCTCCATCATTATATCACGTGCTCACGATCCTTGGCAGCCAAGTGTGTGGCGGCACATTGTTCTTTCCTTCCCTGCCTGCTGATACGGGTTCTCCTTAGAGATTCCTCAAGTGTCTGAGCCGAAAAGATTTTAGAAGCCATGCAGACCATTTCTTTGATTTGGCAGAAAAGGAAACAGAACCAGAGAGAAGACCGGCACAAAGGCACACAGCTGGTTAATGAAACCAGGTCTTCTGACAACCAGTCCAGGGCTTTTCCCAGAATACCACGCCCTAGATACCAAATAACATCTGTATTTCAGGAGCTCCTGCCCAGTCCATATTCTGTTTCCCATTTCACTCACTTCCATGCCTCAGGCCTTGAACTAGACCTTGTAATGTGGTAAAATGACTTTCTGAAAAGTTTCTATTATTTGGTATTTTGATGGAAAGGCAACATTAGATTAGAAAGAAAGAGGTTATCACAGACAGAGGTTTCTAAAGGGAAATGCAGTTGGGCCAGAGTGGAAGAGCAAATTCCCCGACTGAGACCTGTTGCTCAAAGTTGTCCATGGACCAGCAGAATGGGTATCACCTGGGAGTCCCGCCCAGACGTGCTGCATCAAAATCTGCATTTGCACAAGATCCCCAGATGACCCGAATACACACTAAAGTAGTCCTGCAAAAAGTCTTCCCCTCCAGTTCCTGCCCAAATGCTTACCTTTCTTCCTCCCACCTCCCTCCGTTCCTGCACTCCGTGGTCCACTCCTAAATGTTGCTCTGTTCATCTAGTCATGCCTTTTCTTGAAATTTAAAGCCATGGAGTGGGGGTGGAGGTGTTATATTTTTAAAGGGGACTCGAATGGAAATTTTTTTAGAAAAATAAAATAGAGCCAATGTGAAAGAACTTGTGCAGTTCCAATGTCATGTTATTAATATAGAAGTATAAACATTTACTATGTTTATATTGGCTTGCTTATAAAATTATCATCTTTGGTTATGGTTAGGAACTTGATGGCTTGGAAATTATCCTAAAAAACTCTGAGAACAAAAATATTTTTCCCCTCAACTCTATGGAAAATAAAAAAAATCTCTTTTAAAAAATCCCAATAACATCTCTTCTCTACATTATTCTCTGCCACTATGCATTTCTTCCTCTTACCTTTCTCTCTTTCATTATTCCTAGCTCAGTTTCCTCATATCACTTTATTTAAAATATAATTTCTCTTATTATTCATTCCTAATAGAAAAATTAAGAAATAAAGAGGAAAAGAAAACACAACTAGAGTCCCATCGATGTAGAAACAACTGTGAACTTTTAATATAAAATTATCTCAAACCTTTTTATGCATATATTTAGTTTTTAAAAATGGAATAATTCAGAACATAATAATTAGTACCTTCTTTTTTTTCTCTTTTTGTTACTCCTCACCCAAGGATATTTTTCCATTGATTTTTAGAGAGAGTGGAAGGGAAGGGGTGAGACAGAGCGAGAGAGAAACATCAATGTGAGAGAGAGACATCGATTGGTTGCTTCCTGAGCACACCCCAACCAGGGCCAGGGATCGAGCCTGTAAACCGAGGTATGTGCCCTTGTCAGGAATCGAACCCGGGATCCTTCAGACCCTACTGAGCAAACCTGGCTAGGTCAGTATCTACTTCCTTTTAAATGGAAGTATAAATTACTAATTTATTTACATCTGTGAACATAAAAATGAACAGCATTGTTTTTAATAAACTTTGCCAAATAGTACCAGGATTGATTCTTTTAGACCATCATTTCCAGCCCCAGTTCACTTCCCACCTTGTCAGAGGTAATTGCTATTACCAGTTTCTATGCATTTAATGCTTCTGTATGTAGTCACAGGAAACAAATTACTGTTCGAGGTTGTCCTCTTGTCATTAGTTATTTTTCACATCAATGATCTACACTAATAAAAGAGAAACATGGTAATTGGCGTACGACCGCTACCCTTTTCATTGGCTAATCAGCGAGATATGCAAATTAACTGTCAGCCAAGATGACGGCTGGCAGCCAGGCAGCTTGAAACTAACATGAGGCTTGCTTGCTTCGGTGACAGAGGATCGTTGGAGGAAACCAACGTTCCCCGCCTGTGGCTGCAGGCCTCTGAGCGGGCAGTTTAAGAAACATTGTAACAAATACCGCCGGACTTCAGCCAGCAGATTCGCAACATTGTAAGCAAAGGCCAGAAACCTACTTTCAGCCATGGGAGGCCTAAGAGCTGGAGCCAAGCCTCAAGGTAAAGCTGGCCCAGAATAAAAAAGAAAAAAGAAAAAAAGGAGCAGTTGGGAACTTCAGTCACTCTCAGCCTGAAAACAGCCCTCAGCCCCTCACCCAGACTGGCCAGGCACCCCAGTGGGGACCCCCACCCTGATCCAGGACACCCTTCAGGGCAAACCAGCCGGCCCCACCCATGCACGAGGCCTCTGCCCTATATAGTAAAAGGGTAATATGCCTCCCGGCACCGGGATCAGCGTGACGGGGCAGCGCCAAAACCCCCTGATCGCCCTGTGGCTCTGTGTGTGACAGGGGGCGGGGCCCCAACCCCCTGAGCAGCCCTACTCTGTGCCTGATAGGGGGGAGCTCCCCAAGCCCCCCCCCCCCACCCACGGGCCCTGCTCTGTGTGTGATGGGGTAGAGCCATAACCTCCCCATTGGCCCTGCCCTGAGTGTGAGAGTGGCGGCACCCCAACCCCCTGATCGGCCCTGCTCTGTGGGTGATAGAGGGCGGTGCCCCAACCCCCGGATTGGCCCTGCTCTGTGCGTGACAGGGGGTGGTGCTGCAACCTCCCCATCGACCCTGCCTTGAGTGTGACAGGGGACGGTGCCCCAACCCCCCAATTGGCCCTACCCTGAGCATGACTTAGGGTGGCATCACAACCTCCCAATCTGCCTGCTCTGTGCATGACGGGGCGGCGCCCCAACTCCCCAATTGGCCCTGCTCTGAGCCCGACCAGGGGCTGCACCTAGGGATTGGGCCTGCCCTCTGCCACCCGGGAGCAGGCCTAAGCCAGCAGGTCATTATCTCCCGAGGGGTCCCAGACTGCGAGAGGGCACAGGCCGGGCTGAGGGATCGCCCCCCCCCCCCCCAGTGCACAAATTTTTGTGCACCGGGCCTTTAGTATAATATAATACCTAACATTCTTCAAATTGCCTTTCCCACTAAGCAATCAGTCTTGGAGTGCTTTCTGTATTAATGCTTATAATTTTAGCTGTTGCACAGTATCCTGTGTTATGAATATGCTATGGTTTATTTAGCATGTGTTGTATTAATTGACTGTTTTTATTTAGGCTGTTTCCATTGTTCCTCTCTTGTAGGAAGAATACGTTTATCCGTTGTTCTTTGTGTGCATATGTCTCTAGAGTAGATTTAGAGAAGTGGCATTGCTGGATCTTAGGATCACCTGCTTCTTTCTGTGAGTGAATGAAAGGAAAAACTCTTTTGAAGATACTGGAGGAAAGGGGATTAAAAGGAATAGATGTTCATTTATTTGGGATTTAGATCCTCAGAACCTGAACTGGAGTCCCAGTTCTACCACTTAGTAGCCTAAAAAATGACCCCTTCTCCCCCATAGTTTGTCTTTGGCTTCCAGTATTATCTTGAGGTTTCCAGCTAAGGTAAGTAGGTGCAACTGAGAAAGAAAAAGACATACCAGGCTTTGGAAGGGACAGATAACACGCAGGTTTGGCTGAGTTTAAGATCTGCCTATTGCCCTGGCCAATGTGGCTCAGTTGGTTGGAGCATAGTCCTGTACACCAAAAAGTGGTGGGTTCAATTCTCTGTCAGGGCACATACCGAGTTTAATCCCCAGTTGGGGAGAGAGAGAGAGAGAGAGAGAGAGAAAGAGAGAAAGAGAGAGAGAGATCTGCCTACTCTCTTATGGGAGGAAGAGTGCCTGTGGTACAGAGTAGAGGGAAAGTCTTCTCCTTCTTCCCCTTTTCAGGACGCCTCACTCCCACTACAGCTCGGTGAATCCAGTTGTCAACTTGACTTTTGATACGTGCACATGGGGTACAGAACATAGAATTTAAGTGCTGTAAGGATTTTAGTAGATGGTCTCTGCTCCTATGAAGGAGAACAGACATCCATTCAGGGAGAGATTCAAGCCAGACACTGTACCACCAAGTGCAACTCAGTGCCAGGCAAACTGAGTACAGTCAGGAGTACTGTTGAGTGAATATCAAGTCCTCTTCATCTTTCACTGGGTTACTGCCCCAGGTTTTTACTTCTCACCTATAATCTCTCCCTTTCAGCCCATTCAGTTGACTTCTGATAAACTAATCTCAAGACCACTTTCATGGTATTTTTAATCTTGTTCATTCCCTGGTAAACTTCCCCTCATCCTTTAAGACTCAGCTCAATAATGTTATGGTGGTAATCATTTGAATATATAAGTATATCAAATCAACATATGGTACAGTTCATAGTCACACATTGTTACATGTCAGTTACATCTCAATAAAGTTGGGGTGGGGGGAAAGACTCTGCTTAAACTGTTATTTTTACAACATGTATCACTCAACATGTATTGAGCACACACTATGGGGCCAATCACCTCTTCTAAAAATTTCCCCTAACCCTAGGCTCTGTGAGCTAATCCCTTCCTGTAATTCTTCTCTTGTAATATATCCTACTTTATTGTGATTACTTATTTATTCTTCTGGTCTACCTGTACCCCAAACCGTGGGCTCTTAATGTACAGGGCCTCTATCTTAGCCACCTCTGTATCCCAGCACCCAGTATTTACATGGTTGATGCTTGATAAATGTTTGCTCAACTCAAATAATGGATAAAAAAGCTTTCCAGAAATGTGTACACTGGTTTTCAACGTACTTTTAAAATTTGGAGGCTAATTCTTGCATAGAGGGAACAGAAACTATATTAGGTAGCTGGAGCAAAGGTGGCTTATCCTAGATCCTGAAAGGAGAAGTGGGCACCTGC